TTTACACCAAAAGACCTTTGGATGTGGTATTTTGGAGATTTTTCAGACGTTCCAAGGTCAGATGGAGCTGGAACCCGTCCCAGCAGCCGTGTGGAGATTAGAGAGAGTCTGCAGGGGTAAACTGGCCATCTGGAGCACCAGGGGTTTTCTCTCCATCGTTCAAGTCTCCCTGGTACCTCCTACGTAAACCCTTGTTATGGAAAAAGTTCTTTAAAAGAGTGAGGCAAAGTTTCCTAATAACTAGAGAAGATCGATCTTGTCCAATAAAGAGTTTTATTGGCAAGAGCGTTCGAAGACGCAATCACAGAGAAAACTCAAGTGAATGTGCACCTGAAGAAAAGGCACGTCCCCTTTTATAACTTCACTGTGTTTCTTATCAGCAACAAACAAAGAGATTCTGATTTACATTCAGTTCTCAGGAAGTCCTTTGGAGAATCTCCAAAGGGACAGTGATATGCATATTCTCAGGAGACAGGAAAGGGCCCCCATGTGGATTGGTCAAAAGGAAAACCTTCTCAGGTGTGAGGGTTTCACAAAGGGCAAGTTATACAATTTCAATGATAAACAGGAATGGGAGATTCATTCTTGATGAGATTAAGGAAATTGTTGCATTTCCTAGTGGTGCTAAAACCAGTCTTCAGGCGTGTGAGACGACTCTCCCTAAAGGAATCAACAACAGTAGCTTTAACAAAGGAACAAAAGAAAATTCTCCACAACACCCTTCACTGGTTTTTCCTAATTACTGGAATTCTTTCTACACCCTCTATCCGCTTAACCTCCCTCTACTGACTGAGTTGCTTCTGGTGTTTACTGGTCTCGGTTTTGTGTGTATCTATGTGTAGATAGTTAGAAATGGATGCGAGACCCATCCATTCTGCGATGATACGCCTAGAAATGCTGGTATTTGTCCGTCGTTTGCATTCGATCACGTGAAAACACGCCTCCTCTGGTGCGGCATCGTGACATCCTTCTCACTTCCCCGACATGAAAGTCAAATGAAATACAAAACGGCTGCTCAGTCTGAGACTGCTCTGCAAAACATCAGACACTGATACGATGTAGAAAAAACCCCGTACGGGGCCTGGGTCGAATTTAATGCTGTTTAGACTGTCGTTAAAATAAAAAATGCTAAAGATATGGGTCACAACTTGGCAAAATATATGTAGACCGCATCCATCTGTTGTGCCAATTCAGTCTTCATGTGAGACACTAAACCCCCACCACTGATGTATTCATCAGCTAATGGAGAAAAATTAATTGTAAAAGAAATAAGACTGCAGAGATGTGTGAGTGAATGTGGCATTCAGTGTAACAGGACTGTGAGTGGTCAGCTAGATGAGTCCAAAAGCGCTACACAAGTCCATTTACCTGTTACAAAGCCTGTCACACACCAGCTCCCAGTGCCACGAGTGTGTGTATGTGTGTGTACGCACGTCAACATGCATATTAAAAATCGGCGCCGACATGTGACAGCTCATTCAAGCCAGCACGGAGCAGTCCAGCTGTGTGTGAATAATTCAAAGCGATATGAATATTTAAAAGAGGACAGATCAGAGGGATTTAAGAGTCATCAAATAGACTCCGTTCACTTGACTTTCTGCCTTCGTCTGTGTAAATGGGAAAGACGCGGAGAAAGTTGACGGAAATACGCTTTGAAAGAGAATAAGAGAGGAGTAATGAGAGCGTGGTGGAGGATGATGAAGACGAGGGATCAGTTGTGCAGTGGAATAACCAGTCTTCAACAAAATTATTCCCCGATGTTCAGTGTCACACGTTTTTTCGGCTCCTGTCGAGGTATTCTTTTGTTCCAATAAAAAAAGTTAACACTGATTTACACAGTGCTGCAGATCATATTACTGACTACTTTTATAATAACTCCAAAATTTGAAACATCCCATCTCAGAGGGATGTGGGAAAAAAAAAACTAATCCATCTTCAAAATTGGACTGCGGGAATTTTGATATCGCAGAACTGTCCCGAAAAACCCTCTGAAAATCAGAAATGCTGCAGCCGGAGTTAGGACGTTCACTTTGAACATCAGAGAGAATATTTCTCATGTTTTAAATCTAGAATCGAATTTTAAAATTCTGCTCTATGTGAAGCTCTGAATGGACAATTTCCATTGGGTCTAAAAGAGCTTATCATTGTGTGTTTTCCCATGGGAAACATCTCATAGATCACCTAGGGGAGCTCCCATCATGCACCTCTCCTTGTCATTTCTCTCCATTAACATGCAATTTTATTGTAGTCATTTACTTGTGTTTCTCTTTCTCTGCATTTATCCCTGGCTTGATCTCCTGGTACTAGTTTTTCCCTCTTGCTCGTCCTCTCACTTATTCCCCGGTTGGGTTGGAGCTTTGTCTTCCCACAGTCGCCCTGTGCATGCTCAGGATGGAAAAGTCGATCAATCTGTAGATTGTCTTTGCAGCTTCTTTTAAACTGCTTTTGAAATCAATAAGACTAATTTGGAATTTCAGGATTTAGCATCGATCGGATTACAATTAGAGGGTTCCTGGTTACAGTCTCCGGGGAACCGGGACCTTTCTGTTCCCGATGTTAATTGGACACCCCAAATCGGCCCTTTGGAGTGAATACGTGTGTGTGTGTGTGTGTGTATGTGTGGTTGTTTGTCTCTATGTGGCTTCTATAAGAATCTATTTCTTAATCTTGAAGTCATGCTTTAAGGACATTTTATTATATATTGTAAATCCAGTGTCCATTTTTGTTTTTCCGAGTTTCTCACATATGAAACTGTCTTGTATTCAGAATGCTGCTGACATACAAATCAGTACAAAGCAAGCAGAGCCTTTTGTCCCTGCTAAATAATTACAGGGATTACACCCCCGTCTCCCGCGGAGCTACATGGTGTTGGGCTGAAGGTCTTTCAGCTTTACGGCCTCTGGGACTTTGTTCGGGGATTGAGACAAGCCTTGACACTTAAGAGAACAAAATCAAAAGGGAATGATACAAAGAGAGAAAAACACGTGGAAGCATAAGGAGGTTAACCCTGTTTATGAATGGTTCAATATTTCATGCTTTGTTTTTTTTTAGTACAGACTGGCAGCCAATGCAAACAGGACTGGATGTTACAAAGCAGCTAGCTAGCTGAACTGTTCTAGGAGTTTTAGCTAATGTACAGTATGTCCTCAAGATTGAAAACTTATAAATCAATGTATCGACTCTGCCACATCTGTTATGTTTCTTAATCTACAATACGAGTACGTTTCAAACACAGCATTTTGGTTTGTCCATTTTTCGGAGAGGTTTCTTGGATTTGGACTCCCACTGGAATAACGACTTGATCAAAGTGAGAAGCAAAAAAATTAGTTTGCCACAAATGCTCATTTTGCTACCTTTGCCTGAGAAAGAGTGATAACCTGGACAAAGCTCCGAGTTCCATTTTCCAACTGTATCCTACATTAAAGCTGCCGCCCAGCTTCCAAGATCAAAGACTTTCCTCACTTTGGGTTTTCATGATCTGCTTTTTACTCCATATTATCTAACTGAATACAGTGTTGCTTGTTGTATTGTCGAGGAAGGCTGTAATATACAGTTATCCTGAGATTAGAATTGTAATCTTTGTCAGGATTTGATTCATAGTAGACGGGTCAGGACTCTAAGGCATCCTATCCCCGCTCAGAATAGGCGATCTATGTAATGTCCAATACTTTCTTTTCTTACTTTTATTACTGAAAGACAATAGACTGTAAAATGCCCCGAGGGGATGCGGTTGTATTTCCTGCAGTTTTTTCTCAATATTGATTCAAGAACAAACGGGTGGCGGTAAAGGTTACTGTAGCGACACCCGCCATGCATCCTGGTTGGAGACAGCTTCGTCAAACAATCATAAAGTAATTATTGTGCGAGCACCCTTTCCGTGTGTGTGTGTTTGTGTGTGGGTGTGTTTGCTCAGGTGTGAGGTTTCTGTTCTTTCCGGAACATTGAAAAGTGTGGACGAGATCAGGAATTCTCTGAATATTCGTCTGGGTTGTTGAGGACCCCACCAGACGACGTCCTTTGGTGGAATAAAGTCCCCTCAAATTTATTTGTATTGCACATTTAATGGACAAAACAATTCAAAGGGCTTTACAAAATAATTAAGAATACATAAAATAATATATAAAGACAAATAAAATCATTAAAAAACACATACAGTCAAATCAATTGGTTAAAAACAAGCAACTTAAAAGGTACCTCTTCACATTTTATGCATAAAGATATGAACAAAAAGATGTTTTTAAGCTTTATTTCAAAATGGCTACCTTAGGAGAAAGTGGAATCTCTACTGGCAGCTTGTTCCACTCGTTTTCAGCATAACAGCTTAATGTTACTTCTCTCTGGATTCTGGTCTGGACTAGCTAACCCGGTCTTTGGATATAAGAGCTATTATTTTATTATTTGAACATATAATTGGAACCGTGTAAACCAACAACGTGGTTCTAAGATCTATTCTGTGTCTGGAAGCCACTGGAGATACTTTCAAAGTGGTGTGATGTGTTCAGATCTCTTATTCCTCAATTAAAACTCCGGTTCTGGATGAGTAGCAGATGCTAAATGCTCTTTTTGGGAAGTCCACTGAGAAGACCATTACAGTAATCCAGTCTACTGGAGGTGATTGCACGGATGGCTGTGATTGGAGGAGCCCGAGTCTCTATATGTCCACCCAGGATGATTCTTCTGTTGGTTTTGTCTTTATTTAATTGCAGAAAATTCTTATCCAGCTGTTTATTTCCTTCAGATACCGACAGAGAAAAGCAAAGATAGTTTGGAGGAGGATACTTGTTGCCTGGCGCAGGTGGAGCCCTGAAACCCATTAACCGGGGTAGAAAATGGATCTTTCTTTGTTTCATCCCTTCATTTTGGTTGTGCTGGTAACCTTGCATCTCGCACAGAAAGCTGTGGAATCTCTGAGCAGACTCAAACGTTTGCATCTGTCCACGTCTGTGGATATTTTGCTTTTGTGCGTAATCTGTGGTCTGAATCTGTTTGTGTCCTCACAGGGCCGGTAAGGAATTGTGTAACTCGGTTAAAGTATCTGCGCATTTGACCGTTCAGCAAAATGTGCACTGGGGTGTGTCTTGATTTATATCTGTTTTTGTCTACGAATGCATTTTTAGTCATTAAAAGATGGAAATATATAGCTGACTGCTGGCGGTTTTATGACTGGAATGGAGTGTTTAGGGGCTGTGATTCCACAATGTCTTCTCATCTGCAGCTAAGGTCCTTTGAATGGACTAAATCTCTCCGTGAGCTCAGTCTGGCTCACAGACTAACCATCCAAAATGTCTCCGATTGTCTTTTAAACTGCAGAATGATAGAATATGTTGCCGGTCTGGTTCCTCCCGGGCTGAACGTGTGTTCATGTGCGTTTCCTCTCTCTCTGCAGATACACGAAGATGAAAACAGCCACTAACATATACATCTTCAACCTGGCCCTGGCAGATTCTTTGTTCCTGGCAACTCTACCTTTCCAGGTATTGTTTCTTTAATCATCTCACCAAATTCAGAGTATTATTATGAGATCGTGGGCTTGTTTTTTTTCTATCTTGAAGAAAAGTTTGCTGACCGACAACATCCATCCATCTATTTTCGCAACTAAATGACATTACTTATTTTAACCCTTTATAGCCTGATCCAAGAAAAATAGGAAGAATATTGGATTTTTTTAGTCTGAAGTCTTTCTTTGGCCCCTTAAGAACATATGAAGAAAAAAAACAGAAATTCTTTTGATCAAGTTACTGTGCAATAAGTCAAAAATATATGTTGGTGTAGTCTTCTACTGGCTGTTATCAGGTATATCTGAATGTGTACAACAGGGGTTTGAGCAAAGCTTTTAGCACTGAATGAAGCAAAAAGTCACATCTAAAAGACTTCAGAAACCGTATGTATCAAATATGATACATTTGGCATTATAGGGTTAAGCAAGGGATTGGTTCTAATCTAGGTGGACTTGTCTCCACAGGAGGAAAACGGGCAAATGAATTAAATAAAATATAAATGATTGAATCTCTGTCTGTCTTACGCCTCTCACTTTTTTACATCCATGTTACTGACTTGATGAGGGGTGAACATATTGAGAGTAAGCAGCTTATAACAGTTTCTATTTGCAATATGCTCTGCTAGCTGTTTCTTAGTTCACTTGGCTAACAGTTCCATGCAGTGGTTTGTTGTATTCTGTTGTTTATAACATCTAAAGTTAGCGTGTCGCTGTGTTAGAGAAGCTAATATGTGTTTTCAGCAGGTATAATATTTGGTTTTATTTTGTTGTGGCTTACATGAAAATGGTCAATGGAGAAAATGGAGTGAGATGCCTTTATTTTGTCTCAGGGGACTACAGATCTGTTTCTCATCAGTGATGCGTGAACTCGTCTTCTGTGATCATTCTCTCTGATGTCCAATATTTTTTGTAGGGAACGGATGTGTTTCTGGGCTTCTGGCCATTTGGAAATGCCCTGTGCAAGACGGTGGTGTCTATCGACTACTACAACATGTTCACCAGCACCTTCACGCTGACGGTGATGAGCATAGACCGCTACGTGGCCGTCTGCCACCCCGTCAAAGCCCTGGACATGAGGACTCCCCACAAGGCCAAGGTAAAAGGCTGTTCCTTCTTAACTCATAGACTGCCAGCCATTTTCAGAACAGAGTCCCATACTGCCAGAGTTTTTTGAGCATTTTGACTGATTTTTCCAGAGCCACAGAATAGTTTGTGCTATGACTATGTAAACACCGAACACACCAAAAAGAAAGAGTAGACTCTCTTCTTTCATCAGGAAAAAATAAATTGTTTCTACCTTATTCCGTTCTTCCTCGACGTGCGTCTCACCGGCGCCATTTTTCGCATAGCGAACCATTGCGTTTTTTTTATTTGCCTACAGTCTATGCTCATCTCCCATCAAAAGTGGCACTGCCCCCTAGAGGGTCAATTTGTTACTACATACTCTGTCTAGAAGCCGATATTTACGGACAAGCTTTAGCAGATCGTCCCCCAAGTCACTCGCGTTGAAAAACATTAAAGACGTCTATAGACGTCTTTGGCAGTCAATGAGTTAAAGGAGACACGTAGAAAAACCTTCACTTCCCGGTCTGAGGACACCAGAGGGACGCGGGTAGACTTAGACTCAGATTTAGACTTGTACTCTATTGATCCCTTGAGAAGACTCCATCAGGAAATGAAAGTTACCAGCAGCTTCCAGGGCAAAAAAGTGGCACACAGAGAGCAAAATGCAAAAAATAAAAAAATAAAAAAAATACAGATTAGGTACAGGTACACACTAAATGTGAATAGCTCAAAAAATAAGAATATAATAAGTAAAAAAAAAAAGAAAAACGAAATTCAGCAAAAATAAGCTAAGAATAAGAATATAAATACAACATGAAAATAAAGACCCCTAAGAAAATCTAGGAGTTTGTTGGATAGATTGACCAGTGATATGGTTTTGCACTATGTGGTTTGGCCTGATAAATATGGAGTTCACATTTTACAGAAAAACACAAGCGTTGCTACTCCTTCCCTGACATTTTAACGGGGTGGTTAGTGAGTCGTGTCACCAAAAAAACAAAAAAACTATCGGAAGATAAACCAGCTCTGATCCGGTATTGACAGAGGACAAATGTTTGCATTTACAGTCTGGGTGTGGGCAGAGACAACTTCATAGGAGAGTCATATTCCCCTTCATGTGCAGTGCATTGATAGTGGTCACTACAGTTGAGGGTAACAATAAAATAGTCTATGCTATAACCATTTATTAGGGGGTGGTAAATCATTTTAAAGTAGACGAAAATCATCTGGCCTCCTCAGCATTCTAACCTTAACCCTAACCCAAAAGTAATCTGCAACACTTTCTATGAAGGCCCTTGTAATAACCATTAATGAATAGGTAATAATAATATTAATAATAGGTAATAAGGCCCTTATAGTCCTTATAAGATGCTTATTAACATTATTGTGTGTTTGTAAGGACTTATGAGGGCCTTATATCTTGTTCTTCATTTCAAGAGGCTTTAATATAAAGCGTTTTAAATTCCTTTGAAATCAGGAGGCGCCTTCCATCTGTCAGGGCTGGACTTGCTGAGCGAGGACTCAGATGCAGAGCTTCTTTTCAAAAGAGTTTATCAACAGAAAAAGCACTCCAACGTAGTGGAAAAGGGTGGCGCTCCAAAACGGAGGAAAAAGTAACAACTGAAAACTTCTCCGAAGAGGCAGGGACAAAAGTACAAATCAGGACAGCAAAGTGCAAAGTAAATCTCTCTTTTCAGAGGACGAGGCGTAAGCAAAGTAACAAAGAAATACTCACTAGTCCAAAGCTGCTAGGAGACAATAAACTCAGAAACTCGCACTGGAGGCAAAACGAGGAATGCGAGGTTCCAGGACGGGGACTATGGTCAGGACGAGGGGACTCGGGAACAGGAACTATGATGGGTCAGGAACTATGGATCGAGAGGCACACGAGACAAAACGCAATTCTCTGGCACGGGACAAGGGGATACGAAGACTATTTAAACACATGAAGGAAGGGGCCCCAGGTGTACCCAATAGGTAATCAGGGAGACGATCGGACTGGAGACACAACAGGAAGTGCAAGTGACCTCAAACGAGATGAGGGTTAGTCTTCAAAGTAAAACAGGAATGACGAGACGACATAAAGACGAGACGAAAACCCTCAACCAGGAGCACCACCGTGACACCATCTGTGTAACCACTGGGAGAAAACAGAAATATCCAAAATACCAATCCGCTGCCGTGTGTTCAGGTGGTGAATATCTGCGTGTGGGTGCTGGCTTCTGCGTTCGGTGTCCCAGCCATGGTCATGGGAAACGTCGAGGAGGAACAGGAGCATAACAGTGAGTAGCTCACACACACACACACACACACATTCTTGTAAGTACCTCAGACTGAGGACCAAGTAAAAGGACCAGTAGTTCTGAGCGTCTTACAAAGATTGAGTTTTCAAATGTTCTCACTAGGTGTCACACACACACACACACACGCACACACACACACAAACACACACATATACACACACACACACACATAAACACACACACGCACCCACACAATCAAGTGAGGACCAGGAAAATGTCCTCACTTTCCAAAAAAGATCTCACTTTGTTGGTTAAAAACTAGTTATGGTTCTCACTCTGTTGAAGAAACAAGGACACACACACACACACACACACATACACACACACACACACACGATACGCGGTTGATTACGTTCATTGTTTAACCATTTAAAATGTTAAATGGCTTTACAAGGGACTTGGCAGCTTGTTTTTATGATTCATTCCTCAGTTTCTAAATGGATTTAGTCTATTTCCTGATGGATCAGGTCTCTGTGAGGTGACACCCTAAACAGGCTAGCACTCCATTACAGTTTCAGGCTCAAGCTG